TTAGTAACTGTCTCCAACAATTAGAAATATAAATACACATATCTATTTATTCGATTAATATATCTATTTAAAATAAACCACCTAAAGTATTCCTGAGGGCTAGTATCTTAGACTTTATTTCGTTATCCTAAGGGTCGGTAACATTTTTTACTTTGATTTCTATATACATTTATTTTATCCGACACAAAAAACCCCCTCGGTACAAATAGAACTTATTTATTTTTCAACATCTACTTCAACCTCAATCAGGCTGGATACTGATAGCTATTTTATTCAAGAATAATAGCGAATAAGATGTTAAAACCATCACTCTAACTTCACATCTGCTGGATAAGATCAGCTTCTCAATAATATAAGAAGTGGCAGATAGATGTATTTTATTAATATGTCAATAAATAACAGGAAAAATAATTATCTGATTGTTTTAACCTTGATTTATTCGTCTAATGTCAAAATTTTATCCCAACCAATTCGTACTCTATGTGGATGTTCAGGAGGTACACTTAAATCGAAAACAATAAATTTATGTTCACATAGATGCTTATTAACAAGTTTATAGATACTATGCCAGTCATTAACATATAAACGGAGTATTCTGCTTAACTCATCTGAGGTACAAGAGCCGTTAAAAAGTACAACATATTTTAAGTTTTTTCTTATTAGTTTTGGGCAGTCAAAATAGCTTTGTGATATATACATTGAACTAATATTGGAGTGGCATCCCTCAGTAAAATATGACCAGTTTTACCAAGACACTCCCCACCACGCTTCCTGGCATATTGTTGTGCTTTAGCAATTTTATTAATAACACAGATGAAATTAACAGACCTGGAACGAGTGTTTTCTTCCAATATACTCTGGGGCGGATACTGGAGCATATCTATATCTACGTGCATAAGCTCTTCTTCCACAAACCCACGCTTTGGAGCATATTCATCATCGTCATCTCCGAGATAATATAAAATTGGTTCATTCTTCGTTATCACGATTTTGCGAATTTTATGTAATGAAGGACTCCATACTGGATCCGTGGCTCTTTTCTGATTCTCCATACCTCCTTCCCACTCTGCATTAGCAAGCAGATAGCGAACTGTATCACCTTTCTTCAATCTATTTTTCTCATATTTCCCAACAGGACGCTTATACTTTGTAGATGGTCTAGATTCAACTTGTTCTAACCGAATGGCCAGTTTGGGAGCTAAGCCCCACTTTGTAGAACCCGGAGCTCGAATGAGGCGCGTCGGATAATTATTTAGGTAATCGATAACTTCTGGCAAATACTTAACCCACTCTCTTATTAATTTAGGATTTTTAGATATTGATTCAACGACATACTGGATTTTATAAAGCATCTCTGCTAACGTCTTATTGAATCGTTCTACAAGAGCTAATCCACGATGACTATAAGCACCAATTACTCGAATTGTGACATTATGCGCTTCCATTAGCTGACTTACCGATTTTTTGAATTCCGTCCCACCGTCACATTGTAGAAGTGTCAGATACGTAAGAGGGTTATTGGGGTTATCATAAATTTTCTTAAATGCTTTAGCAACTTCAGAACTATTCTTCGATGTTAGAAGAACACTCGCTTTGAATCTGCTAGACACATCTATAATCTGTAATACTGCTTTCCATGTCTTCTCCTTATATTTATCATGCGTAAGAAATAAGAGATCACACTGATGTACACAATTTGGTTTTTGAATTTTACCATAACTTACCCGTGGAGTATTTTTCGGTGACGGAGCATACTTTTGCCATTCATTCTGGTTTATGAGCCATTCACGAACTTTTTTATACGGGAAATTATATCCTTCTTTTTTACATGCGTCTCTTAAAGCTTTTGCATTGGAATGATAACCAGTAGGTCAGTAAAAAAGCATGCCCAGAACAATTTGCAATTCCTCATCTGGATCGATTCTAATAATAGGCTTGCTCAATTTACTCATTTTCGATGTTACTTATTATAGTAAAAATTACGTTTAGCAAAGTTATTTCTTCGTGAAGAAGCTCTCCAAGTTTATATAATTCAGAAGAAGATACAGATATGGCGAATCTTGACCTTTTTATACAAATTGATCGAGGCTTGAATCGTATTGAAAATCATCTTAAAGGTGCTGGAACGCCGTTAAATAACCCTATCAATATTATAAATGGCATTAGAGGCTCTTTGAATGCTGTCCGCCTTAATTACCAAAATGCGTATCAGGATATAGATGGTGTTATCGCTCAACGGGATGATAGCAATAATCAGATAGTCCAGCTACAGCAGGATGTCAATTTCTATAGACAACGGAATATCGTTTTGCAAAATCAAGTTAATCAGCTTACCCAAAATAATTTTCAGGACCAAGTCAATCAGATTACCCAAGAACGAGATAACTTACAGAACCAAGTTAATCAAATTATTCAAGAGTGACATAATTTACGAAATCAAGTTAACCGACTTACTCATGAGCGTGACAATTATCAGAATGATCTTACTTTGATGACTACAGCTTATAATAACGAACAGAGAGAATGTCGTCGCTGGTGGTTCTCATATCGTGATAAAAATAGACGTGTTGGTGAATTAATTCGAGAAAAGTTTGCTATTCAATTATTATTACAGTGATGCCATACCAATAGTAGGGATTTACAACAAAGATATGATATGCGAGGGCGTTTGTGGTATAATATTACCTTGGCATTAGAAGAACAATCAAAACTCAAACACGTTCTTAAAATTATTTATAAGGTATTTATTCATCGCTTACAACAGGAGCTACAACAATGCCGGGCTGATAAAGGATTATTAGAATATAATCGAGATCGGCTCTTTGATAGATATTACAATAAATTCAAGGATCGGAAGGCAAGTCATATCAAGTGGAAAAATAGAGAGCGCAATTTACGGCAATTAATTTTAAATTTGAATCAACAAATTTTTACGCTTCAGAATAATCTACCTATAAATAATCAATATAGAGGAATGGCAGGATATGCACCACCCCTATTTTACGGAAAAGCTGGAGAAGATCCTGAAGAATGGATTAGAGATTTTAGACAATACTGTGAAGCATCTGGGCTTGATCCACTTGCAGACGCTCGAACCAGAGTAAGGATTCATGGACTTTTTGAGACGTGTTTAAGAGATGATGCAAAAGATTGGTATGAAACTCATCTTAAGAATAAAAATTGGGAATTGCAAAATATTAGCGACAATACGGGTCTTGCAGATCTTGGTGCCATCAATGAATTAGCTAACAATAATGCATTGCGTGCTATTAATGTCAATCAGTTTAGAGGCGGAGCTCTTCATATAAGAAATACTGTCCCAGCCAATAATAATGCAATCGCCACACCATTAGTGCCGGCACATACTGTTTTCGATGAAGACTGGTTGATATCCGGTGGACGACCAACAGATCTAGCCCCAAATGCCCCCAACGCTAATGTAGGAGGTAATACTATAGCTCCAGGAATTCGTATCAGACAGGTACTATATTGGTTTAGAACCAATTATCCCACAATAACTGCCGAAAAATCAAAAGTGGTATTCCATAACATTACTCAAGGTAAGGATGCTTGCCTAAATCCTTTCAGAAAAATATCGTCATAATTTCGACGGGTTACACACTAATTGTTAATTAGAATTTCGACATAATTTCGGTTACGACGGGTTTCAAAATTTGTCAGAATTTCGACGGGTTATTTACTAATAGTTTATTATAATTTCGACAGAATTTAGACAGTCACTAAGGGATTTCGGCAAGCAACCTTAACTCAAGGTACTGATCCTATAGGTCATTTTTATGCAAAATTGAAAAGAATGGTTGGTCTTGCCTATCCCGCACTTCCAACATTGAATCGAGAAGAAATGGTTAGACAGCAATTCTTTCAGGACCTTTCTCTTGATAACAAAATAGAAGTAAGACGTATTGGTCTCGAATATCCAATTTCCACTTTACTACCAAAATTAGAAGAAATTGAAAGACAGAAGGCGGAAATGATGTTAGGTCAGTATAATCCGGAATCTCACCCCGTTATTTCTCGATTACAATCTAAAGCTAATGCAAAAGACAGTTACTTGAGCAACACAGGTGTGAGTAGAAATGAAATGGAAAACTATGTAAATTCTCGTATGACTTCTACACAATCTCAACCTGTTTCTTTACAGACAGCTCCTCAGCAAATACAACTGTTACAACCAACTCAGCTATCTCAACCATCTTTACCGTCACAACCATCTCAGCTGTCTCGATCTTACTATGGACCACAGCCCGCAGGAACAGACCAATTTGTACAAGATGCAAACATTGGTAGATTTATACAATGGCTCACTGGGAAGTTCCAGAATTTGTTCCCCTTCCCAAACCCGATTTACCTCCAAAACCACAGATAAAAAAAGTAGAAGTCGACTCTGATGAAGAACTGGCTAATCTTACCAAAAAACAATTAAAATTACATGTAGCTAAAACCATTAAAAAAGCTGTGAAATCCCAACACCATTGTTCAAAATGTCACAGAATTGGTCATCGTTCAAATTCTCCTAAATGTTCGAAAAATAAAAAGAAGAGCAGGTCCAGAAAGAAAGGTAAGGTTAATATGGCTATCAATGACTCTAGTTCCGATTCAGGTTCTGATTATAACTCTTCCAATAACGATTCTGGTTCTGGCTCTGAGTCTGGTTCTGAATCTGAATCTGATTCTGAGAATGAGTTAACTGAGACTGAAATCGCGAAAATTATCAATGCTGTCAATGCTGTTAAATCAAAAAAAAAGTAAAACGAAAGAGTAAATCATCCTCTAAGTCTAGTCCAAAGAAGAGACAGAGTCTCGAATCTCCAATTCAACATACTTCACAAAAGAAATCAGGTACGATTATCGACTCACAGATCCGAAAAATTATTCTAGCTATGTTTAACGATCCAGAGGTTATAGAAACAATTAAAAACAATATTAATAGCGGAGCTAGTGCCAAAGCACATAATACGAATGTATCTACTGCAAAACCTGACTTTATAAATTATTGAGAGCCGGCTCCAGAAATACCCGATTCGGATAATGAAGAAGAGACACTGGATGATCCTATGGAGATAGACTTCGTCCGCCGGAAAGAACCCAATACAAGTATTGCAACTATACCAGTTAAAATCAAACGCTTAAAAATTCCAGCATTGGTGCTCGATAGTGGGGCTGAACCCACAATTGTATCAGAAAACATTGTTAAACGCGTAGGCGGGAAAATAGATAAATCAGAAAAATATGATCTTAGTGGCATTGCTACTGTTCCAACAGAATCTATCGGCATCACTCGTAATTTACCAATAACATTTCCTCCGGGTTTTACTATACGTGAAGATTTTGTAGTTGTACGAGTTCCTAAACTGACATTAATATTCCCAAACCTGCTTCTTAAAAAATACAAATGTGCTGTAGATTGGGGTAATGATAAAATGAAGATTCACTATAATGGAGAAGATTTTATTATTCCAGTTACTATGCACAAAGTCAAGAATAAACTCGAAGTAAATTGTGCTACCGCATCTCAGGATGATATGGACGAGGTCCCATTGCTTTGCAATAAGCCTTTGGTATCTGATCAAATTTCACAGGAGGTCAATAGTAATGAGGGTGGTAATAATCCATTGGAAGAATGGCATGCTCCTGCGGGTTTTAGCTCAAATTCTGACAATTCAACTTCAAAAAAAAAAATACATAAATTGTGAGAATAAGTCAAACCGTGAAAAAGAACTTGAAAAGGCACTATTCGCCAGTATTCAATCAGTTTCTGAAATAATTGGATATTATAACGATTTGTGCGATCGATATGTGTCAGAGACACTAGCTCCGCTATAAAACAAAATATTGATTTTACACTTACGAATCTAAGGAACAGATAATTTAGAGGCAAGAGTACGACCACTCGCTCTAATCTTTTCTATATCTTTTTGGTTTCTCTTATGTAATTCCAAAACATCTTCAGTC